AAAAGGAAAATAACATTAATCTGTTTTACAATAATCTTCTTCTGGGCTGCACAACACACATGTTGAGCATGATCCCATGTATGAAGATGGAAAGAGTTACGGCTGACAAACAAAATGCTATTTGGGAACCAGTAACTTGGGTAAGTGCAATTACAATTTTGTCCTCCTGTGCAGGTGTAGTGAACTGTCTTAGGTTCACTCATTTTGTCTTGTCATAGCCCTGACAACCATGATATAACTGATTTCCTTGTGCCCAGAGCCCAGAGCCCAGAGCCAGTCACTAGGGTAAGTTGTCAGCTATCAGACCCAGCCACCTATGCAAAGTATCACCACACTCCCACCAAATACAGCAAAATCTGTAACACCCAAGCCATTAAAACGTTTCCCTTTCCTAGCGTCTCTCTAAAGGCAAAAAAAACAAGGGAGATAATCTTATTCTTGTTAAAAGTGATAATGGAAACCTGATAATTTTCGTTCTGATATCTTCAAATGAAAGTTGCCATTGTGCAAAAAGAATAAGAAGAAGATGGTTGCTAGGCTAATTCTAAAGTCTTTTGGACCTTTCTTTAATGAGGGGTTTTTTTGTTTGTTTTTTACTAAAATTATCTAAATTCCACTTTTTGTGGATGCTATATCAATTCATGAATCATTTTTGGCAGGCTAAACTGCCCAGTAACCTAAGCAACCAGATTATCTAACACAGGCTTCTAATAATGACTACATGTCTTTATTACTGTGTGTAACACTGCCATAAATCCTTGCAAGTGGGAAGATGAAAACCTCTCCAAAAGTTGACTGCTTCAGAGAAATGGTTAGATTTCCTGCAGTTCACAGACCGAGGGCGATTGATGCCATCTGTATTTCCTACATCGAAAGCATTTCCCTGTAGGGAAAAAAAAATGAAGCTCCTATATGCAGCAGCAGATGGCATGGTGGGTCCGTGCCATTGGCCTGACCTCTGTCTGCCTGAGTGCAGCATACCAGGATTGAGAGGGGGAGGAGCTCAGCAGCAGCAAAGCTGACATGGTGCAAACACACCCTGAATGATGGCTCTGCAACCCTGCCCTTTCCATCCCGGTACAGTGGTACCCCGCAAGACGAACGCCTCGCAAGACGGAAAACCCGCTAGACGAAAGGGTTTTCCGTTTTGGAGGCGCTTCGCAAAACGAATTTCCCTATGGGCTTGCTTCGCAAGACGACAGCCCATAGGGAAATCTCAGGGACAGCGGGGAAGCGCAGCGCGTCTTCCCCACTGTCCTCGGACCTCCTCCGAAGCCTGGCGGCGGGGCGGGGACACCTCCTCCCGCCGCCGCCGGGCTCGGAAGGCTCCTCCGAAGCCGGGCGGGGAGGGAACACCTGCCGCCGCCGCCCGGCTCGGAGCGGTGCTCCGAAGCCGGGCGGGGGAGGGAACACCTGCCGCCGCCGCCCGGCCGGGACGGTGCTCCGAGCCGGGCGGGGGGAGGGAGACCTCCCGCCTCTGCCCGGCCCGGAGCGGTGCTCCGAGCCGGGCGGTGGGGAGGGAAGACCTCCCCCGCCGCCCGGCTCGGGACAGTGCTCCGAAGCCGGGCGGGGGAGGGAAGACCTCCCGCCTCTGCCCGGCTCGGGCGGTGCTCCGAAGCCGGGCGGTGGGGAGGAAGACCTCCCCGCCGCCCGGCTCGGAGCGGTGCTCCGAAGCCGGGCGGGGAGGGAACACCTCCCGCCGCCGCCCGGCTCGGAGCGGTGCTCCGAAGCCGGGCGGGGAGGGAAGACCTCCGCCGCCGCCCGGCCCGGAGCGGTGCTCCGAAGCCGGGCGGGGGGAGGAAGACCTTCTGAAGGCGGGCGGGGGCGAAGTCTTTGCTCCCCCTGCCTGCCTGTCCCGGAGGGCTTTTGAAGGCGGGGGAGCAAAGACTTTCGCCCCCGCCCGCCTTCAGAAGAGGTCCAGGACCTCTTCTGAAGGCTGGCGGGGGCAAAGTCTTTGTCCCCCTGCCTGCCTTCCCAGGGGCTTTAAATTGCCCCGGACAGCGGAGAAGTCCTCCGCTGTCCCGGGGTGATTTTAAAATGCCGCCCGCCAGCATTTTAAGATCGCCCGGACAGCGGAGAAGTCCTCCGCTGTCCCGGGGTTTTAAAATGCTGGGGTGGGAAGAAACGCCCTTGCCCCCCCCCCCAGCCTTCAGAAGAGGTCCGGGGACAGACTGTCCCCGGACCTGGTCTGAAGGCGGTTTCCCTAGGAACGCATTAATTGATTTTCAATGCATTCCTATGGGAAACCGTGCATCGCAAGACGAAAAACTCGCAAGACGAAGAGACTTGCGGAACGAATTAATTTCGTCTTGCGAGGCACCACTGTACACTGTAGTGACTCAGCTGGAGGGAGGTCAGGTGAGCAGCACAGACCCACCATGACATCAACTGCTGCCTATATATGTGCAATTTACTGTAACTCTTATCAGTTCCAGATGTTTTTAGACCACAACGCCTATCAGCCCCAGCCAGCATGGCTAGTGGCCATGGACTAAACGAATAGATCTGGAGGATAGCAAGTTGGAGAAGAAGCCTGCGGATTATCCATTCATTTCGTACAGGCAGGATCACTGCATACACCTCTGTTTCTTGCTTTCTTCAGACAGGAGGCGTACGACATATGACAGCTGACAATACCACTGTGCTTTTTCTCTCAATGCCCCAAACATTCTTTTCTGTAAACATTCTTCTCTATCTGGCTCTGTACAAACTGCAGATCATGCAATACAACTGTTCTTGTAGCAATTTAGAGCGAAGGTAAAAGAATCACATTGTTAAATATGGGGAAATCCTGTCTATTTGTTTCCTGCACACAGGAAACGAAACAGTTCTGATCCACATTGGATATATGTTTCCTATATTTTATTAAATGATTACATTTCCTGGTTACATGTCCCAAACAAATTCAATAGCTGGTTTGAATCCGTGATGTGTATGCTTGGAGTCCAGGGAAATAAATCTCACCCCACATAGGAGCCAACTCATAGGGATTGTAGGGGCTTTGGCCCCCACAATAAAATATTTGAGGGGACTGGGCCCCCACAAAGTTGGTGGGCATTCCCATTCAAATAGTTTGCACGCATTGCATCATGTGATCGATTATGAAGGATGGGGCTTAGCTGGGCCCCCGCAATATTTATTCAAGTTGGCACCTCTGTCACCCCATATTTTGGTCTTTATCTGCATGGTGACACATATTTAAGGAGAGCCCTGATGCTCTGTGGGTGGTGGCAGCAGTTTACTCTGGGTGAGTTTGTGGTGAGCCAAATGCACAGGCTGAGCCACTAGACACCTAATGATGGTGGCTTACCCAGTTACCTTCAGGGCCCAGGGTCTTGTTCTGGATCTCGGAGATATTACACACTTCATTCTGAGATTTCATATAATTTCTATTAGTATTAGTTTTCCTTAGCTAGACTGGAGCAAAGGAAGAACATGCTCCCTTCCAGTCTGAATTGGTCTGAGTGTTTAATTTATGGATTGCATTTCTATCCTGCTTTTCCTCCATGTAGGTCAGGGCAGATAGTACACATTGTACTTTCCTCCAGCCATGCTGTCTTCACAGTAACCTTGTGAGATTATTAGGACAGGTTATGTTGAGAAATGGTGATTGACTCAGCTTCACTGCTGAGTGGGGTCTGAAGAAGAAAGGGCTCCCTAGCTGTTTTCTGGGACTCTATCCATTACACCTCTCATTTGTTCTTATGCCTATCCATATTGAAATACTGCCCCTCAGTGAGGCCAAATTTAGATTCACAAAATGCTTAGGGGTATGCGTCCCCCCTAGAAAACAAAGCACCATGCCTATCCCCTCAGCTTACATTTCATCTGTTCTTTGTGCAAGGCAAGCCTGTCACTCTCTGTTGTTCTTACCATCCTGGTTTCTTTAAATTTATTTCTAATATGAGACCATCTGATGTACAAAATATGATAATAATTTGCCCATAGCCTATCTCTTCACCAATACGATTTTTTAAAAAAGTTATATTAGTTTCTTTTTTTAAAAAAATGCAGCAATAACACTTGATTTCAAAGCATTCTTGCAAAATGGGACTTCTTCTCTAGAGGTCATTTTGGGTGAATTCATTCCAACACTCACAATCACAATCCCTTGTAAGAGAGGATAGGCAGTAAGCCAGAAAAATACTCCAAGTCATAGGGCTCTATAGCTTTCTTATGATGCTGTCATCTGTGGGTCTTTAATCATTATGTTATACTAAATTACTTCTTCATGTTGGAGTGATCGTTTAAGGGGGAAATTGCAAGGGTGCCTTTGGTCCTTTTTTATTGATAGCAGAAGGAATAATAATACTATATTCCATCCTCCCTTAAATACAGATTGGCCTTGTCGAAGAAAATTGCCTCTTTTAAATCAAATTAGTAATCGCAATAATTCAAAGAAGGGAGCTGGATATTTTGGGTGAATTCATTCCAGGAGTCATTGTCAGAATTCACAAGGAAAGAATGCTAAGATAAATGCCTGCAGACTTTTAGAAGGGAGCAGCTCTTAGAAGGGAGCAATAAATGCTAAATTCTGCAACGATCTTGCCTACACTTCATTTCCCATGATATTTATGAAGCTGGACATACTTCCAGGAATGTCTCTAAATACTAATGCCTTGGATGCTCTTGTAATCCCTTTTAAGTACATGATTAGAGGGTCTACTCTTCTGGGTTGGAGCTAAACTAAAGCTGCAATTCTATACACAGTTACTTAGGAGCAGATTTCAATGGATACAGTGGTACTTCTGAATCAACATGTATTGGATTGCGGTTAGTTAGTTGAACCAATAAGCCTATTAGAACCTTAAGGTTCCTTGGAGACCCACCTCAGAGCACCACCCTCCTGTAAAATTTTGGAGGGTGGCAATGGGGGGAGGTCAGCAGTGGCTGCTGCCTGTGGAATGTCCTTCCCATGGTGGCTCACCAGGCACTCACTTTACAATCCTTTCAGTACCATGCAAAGTCCTTCCTGCCTCTGACCTCATATATATATATATATATATATATATATATATATATATATACACACACACACACATACATATGTGCGCATATATATATATGTGTGTGTGTGTGCGCACACACACACACACACACACACACAGCATTTTTAACAATCTTGGCATTCTTTATCAGCCATCGCCTGGTCTCATCTGACTACTCTGTGATTGCACGCCAAGACCTTACCACACTGCTCACGAGAGTCTAGCCTACTGCCTTTCGTCTGCCAGTTAGTTACTGGTTTTGAGCAGCGCCATTGGCTACACATGCCTAGCGGTTATTAGCATAGATTACTGCTGTACAATATTAGTATTAGCAGACTCGACAAAGGGGGAAGCTAAAAATTCGTCATTGCTCCAAGTAAGCAAAGCCCATGTGGAAGTTGCCCGCAAGCGGCACTCAACGGGAAAACCCCATGCTTCCGTCTCATGAGGCATTCGCCTCAGGGGCACCACCGGGCTCCCTGTCTATGTTTGCAGAGGTTATTCTGTTGTGAGCTTCTAACTTGTATATGTTTAGCCATGGTGTTTTATCCTTTGTACTCATTGCATAGTATGCAGTTGATCTGTTTAAATTGTAAATTGCCAACTGGGGGGCCACAGAAGTGAGGTCTTTGACTGGTCCACTGTGCTGCTTTCCTAACCCTGTGCAGTGTATGCAACAGTGTACTGTTAAGACAGGGACCTGAAGCTTGACGTGTTAGTCTGGATCCAATCCACTGTGAACATTTGACAGATGAAGTGGAGTTCATTTTAGGAACATGCATGTGAAAGAACATTGCAACCACTTCAGCTGGAAACCAGCAACATTAATAGTACCATAGACACATTTATTATTTTATCTCATTATGAAGAGCATTCATACCCCACCCTTTTGCTGAAAAGGTTCTCAGAGCAGTTTACAAAAGTCAGTTGTCATCTTATTCTGCTGCTTAGCTACTATCATATCCTTAGAGCGTTAGGGATGAAAACACAATAATGACTACTCATATGGTTCTTTAGAAGACATATGATCTCTGTTGCTTTCAATGTGATTCGGACCTTTTGTCCCCACAAAGCTTAAATAATCATGCACAACTTTGGGTGTGAATCCCCTCTCCTCATATAGTTCCACAGGGGGATGTAGCATAATTAGAGGATGATGCCAAAATGCATGCTATCCCTTTCTATTTTATTTTGCTGGATTGGAAAAAGTGGAATATTCAAGGAGATCAAGTTGAAAGAGGAGAGTTGTTTTTCAGATAAAACGGTTCTCATTTTCTGTGGGCACAAAGTGATTGGCATTGCATAGCAGTGCTCATTGTTAGACTGACAGCAGGTGAAGTTTGCTGCTTTTTGCTCCCCACGAAAATCAACTCAAATACTTCTGCTTTAGAGGTTCAGTCTCCAAATAAAACTGAAATGGGTTTTCTCCCTTCTCTTTTTAGCTTCCAAATGAAAAATCTGAATTCATTAATATGACTATCTCAACCAGTAATTGAATTCTGGAACTGTGTCTTTAGGAACTTCATTGGGTTTAATTGGCCTCACTTACACATCACACATAGCATTTTTATAAGGACAGTACTAAGAGAGGTACTTACTTTCCAATTCACAGTAAAAAATGTTAAAAAGATATGCTCATATCATCTCTAGCCAGATGTGGCCAAAAAATGCAGATGATTTAGATCTGTGTCTTTGAAATCTCCCGGATTGTAAAAACACAAAAACGAGCCTCTACTGTTGAGTGCAATTGATCATAGCTAACCTGTAGCGTTTCATCTGAAATTCAGGATTTTCCCTAAGGTGTATGTGCTGTATTGTTTTGAGACTGCATAACAGCGCCATCTGTTTGGCAGCCTTCAATATGAAACATCACAGCATAGGAATTTCAGGAACACTAAAAGGTCATTATAGCCTTGCAGAATAGCTCTCGCTGTTTTGCACTTTTCTTGTCTGCCTGCTTTCACGTTCCTTCTGATCTCCTGTGTGTTTTAAGCTGAAAATTCTCCAGTGCTGAATGAAAGAATCTGCACATTAAAATTTCTAGGGTGCACACAGGAGAAGAGAAACTCCATCAAGACATGTGCAAAGTTTCTATTATTCGTTATTAATTTCACCTTCAGTACATTGAGGGCTATAGCTGTCTCGGGCTTTGTCAGTGTCTCCAAAGTATCAGGCTTCATACACACTCGCCCATTTGCAGCACACACAAAAATTGTAGTTTCCCTCAATTTGGAATTGTCCACGCTTATCATCAACATGCTGTTTTTGAGCTAGAATGATTCTAGGTCCTGCTGCTAGCAAGTGTGGATGTGGTTATTTGATCCACATTTGAAGTCTTCCCTTGATTAGGTTATCCACACCTTTTCCTCACTGCATATGTCTGCCAACCTTCTTACTGGCAGGCCCAAGGTGCTCACTGGTTTAAACCACAGCACCGACCGGAAGGTCGGTGGTTCGAATCCCTGCGACGGGGTGAGCTCCCATTGCTCTGTCCCAGCTCCTGCCAACCTAACAGTTCGAAAGCATGCCAGTGCAAGTAGATAAATAGGTACAGCTGTGGCAGGAAGGTAAATTGCATTTCCGTGAGCTCTGGCTTCCGTCACAGTGTCCTGTTGCGCCAGAAGTGGCTTAATCATGCTGGCCACATGATCTGGAAAGCTGTCTGTGGATATACAGCAGCTCCCTCAGCCTGAAAGTGAGATGAGCACTGCAACCCCATAGTTGCCTTTGACTGGACTTAACCATCTGGGGTTTCTTTACCTTTTTGCCTGGACCACGTAACTCTGTCTTCAAACTGGCACACTACAGGGTAATGCAGAATCAATCTGCAATGAGCTTTTGTTTTCAAAATGAAGCCAATTTCTCAACAAGTACTTAGTCTCTACTGATTCTAAAATAAAATTTTGTGTGTATGCAGCTTTAATGCATTCTTTGAAATACTGGCTTCAGACTCTTGTGATTGATGTGAGATGTTGGGGGAAGGGTAGTAATAGTTGTTTATAGAAAGTGGAAACATTCCTCTTTCCTTTTTCTTTTTACTTGGTTTTCTGATGATGGGGAAGTCGCAGCTGTAAAACTATTCCAGAAACAATCACTGCAGTCTCAGTGTTACACTTTATTTGTGGGTAGTGGGTGAAGAAAGTTAGGAGAAAAATCTCTCACATTGGAGCTGGTGGTCTGTGTTTGATTTAGAGGTGGGAGACCCAGGACATATTAGGAAAAAAAGTGACAAATGATAAATCTGATTCTGAAATAATTCTGAAATTGATTAATTATGAATCGCCTGTCACCTCACACAATGGCATCATCAATGGGACTGAGAAAATGCCTTCCTGCACCTTTTCCAGTTAGGATTTGTGCCCTCCTTGCTACTTGTTTATGTTCACATTACTTATTGCTAGCCCGGGATGTTGAGAGAGCATCAGATTCTCAGATGAAGAGTTCCAGGGAGGATTCAAAAATATATAAAATCTATAAACTCATATACAATGCAAATAAGCAAACAAGACAAACACTGCCAAACAAAAACAACCAAAAAAAGCCTGCATGAAATGCAAGACTTACCAAGACAACAAGTCTTACCATGTCTACTGCACTGCAACAAGAAGCTGATTCCTGAGCTTGGTAACCATTCCTGTAAGTCTGGGACAGCTGACATGGCGTTCTACAGATGCTTTTGGACTCCTATCATCCCCAGCCAGCATGGCCAAACTCAGGGATGATGGGAACTGAAGTCTAATATGATCTGGAGGGCACCCCATTGCCTATCCCTGCTGTGAGAGCTTTACCTGTCAACATGCATCAAGCAGGGGCGTAGCAAGGGAGGTGTGGTAGGTGCAGGCTGCCCCGGGTGTCCCCACTGAGGGGGTTGACAAAATGGTGGGCGGCACTCACCGTGGGGCCTGTAACGCGCCCAAGCCATGCGTCTCCCCTGGAAGTGACGCGGTGGCTTGAGCGCCCACAGGCTCCACACTGCCCCAAACGGCCCTCCCATTGCCTCCCCCTCAGCTGTAGGGCGGCTGAGTGGGAGGATGCAGGCAGACTCCTCGGAGACCCCACAGTGCCCCTGTGCCCCAGGCGCCCGATGGGCTTGCTCCACTGCTGGCATCAAGCACATCACTGCCTCATACTGCAATAGGGGAAATCACTCCAGAGTGGGCTTTTCAAGGAATTTTCAAGCTTTGCTTAATGAACATGACTAAACTACTAACCTGCAGACATTTTTCCTATTCCTACTGAAAGAGGATGATGTGACTCATTAAAGGAATAGGCACGGTGATGGTACAGCTGGGGGCAAAATCACTGGCTTTAAAACTTTACCACCCTACAGCTGCGGCTTCACCTTGTTTCATGAACAAACCGAGCTTACGTGTTGGAAAATTCAGAGCTTCAGTGTGCGGCTTGTCTATTAGAACAGGCTGTATCAAACACATAGGAATCAGAATCCCAATAATGGCAAGAACATTAAAGGATGATCCTGTGAGAAAGTAGGTGGGGACATTTTTAAAATTGCTTTCTCAAAAACTAATTTGTAAGGAAGGCTTTGGGGGATTTGTAATAATTATGTCTGGCATATTTACTTTTGCTTAAAGGCAGCACACCGCCTGATCTGGTAAAACAACAACCTCCAGGCTCATTACTTATAAAATTAAAGTGGGCTACACCTCTCCTGTGCTCCTCTAACAGAACTGCAATCCTTTCATCCTTCTAATGTGTTCATAATTGAAGTAATGCGCCAGACTGCTGATGTCAATGGACAGAAGGTTGAATTTATTTTCAGAGGCAGGGTCCATACTGAATAAATACTATTCCAATCCGAATTGTCAAGTCATTTCAGAGAATTCTTGGTAAAATATATATGTACTGAATCTAAGAATCTAAGTAATATATATATATAGAGAGAGAGAGTATTAATAAGCTGGATGAATTAAGTAATTAAGTAACAAAATGAAATGGGGCTTTCTCTTGGTTTTGGTGGTGGGCAGGAATGAATAAGATTGCTGCTTCCTTTTAAAAACTTCATTGTTTTAGTAAATGTTTTCAAATTACAATTAAGAATTGCTACTTCCTTGCTTGGTCATTTATATTCCATATTCACTCAG